AAATTTTCACTCCTCAGCCCCAATCGAAGTGATAAAAGAAGAACTAACAACGCTTGGTTTCAAAGTCAGGTAATCAACGTTTTGAAGGAGCATAAGGAGCAGTCAGAGGTAATAAATAAAGTTCCACTACCTTCATTTATATACACATGTGCACATGATATTATAAAAAGTTCCAAAACTAAGGTAAGATTCACGCAGACGATACAATATTCTCAACATCATCCGGCCAAACTATGTAACTGCTGCAAACTTTCGACCAAAACAAATTCGAAAAATTCGACTAGACGAAGACAAATCCCAACGAATTACTTTCATTCTTCGAGATGAAACGTGCCCTCCTATTTATCTCAACTATATAAAAATTCCTCAATCATATAATGATCAATACTTCAGGCTGACATTTGGCTGTAGAATGATATGGTGCACACTTATCACTAATAAAAAAATATGCTAAAACTCGGACTACAACGATTATAAATTACTCCCATCAATACGTTTTAAATACAAAATAAAATAGAAAATGAAATTTGCATTTACATATTCAAGCCAATTTGGACATAGGCTTAGCAGTTAAAGAGGACTTCCGAAAACTATAAATAAAACTCTATTATGCAATCACTAATGTTACTTTACATAAATACCTTTACATGTCAAACAATTTTTCGATAACTTATATGGACATCTTAACACACTTATGAAAGGCATAGTCACAGTCAGTATGCCCGATAATACATTTAGGAGGCTAAAAAGAAGCTGGATGATTGACCTCTTAAGGAAAATACTAAAATAAAGAAAGGAAAACCATTGGTCACTTCTCATCCTCAGACCTCTATCATCTTATTATTCGGTTTCTCAGCAGCATACTCACTGGTGGTCTGTATTTCTAACAGGTGTGAGTGAATATACAAAGTTACTATTTATTAATATATTTACTATCTGAATTTTATAAAGTTATATCTGTTCATCCAACTCCTGTTCGGCATAAGATGCATGATTGTTGGTTATAAGATATTTGCACATATTTAAGATGATTGTTCATATTGTTTGGTATTTTTTATTATTCTTAGGGAACTTTAGTCCCACAGTAAAATGATTTTTCATTTCCAAAACATTCTGAATGACGTAAATTAAAACGTTTTGTAATATTTCTTTAGCATATGTGAAGAATTTTTAGTTACACTTAACAGCACATAAATTATTCTTTCAGAAATTAAGTGCCAATTTCAAATTTTCATATGTCGGCTCATCACTCGGAAGTTATTTTTAACAGTTAATGTCTTCTAAACATAGAGTACCTAATAATTTTACATCAAGGTCGTGGCTACGACTGTGCCATTTATTTAAGCTATTACACTAAATCCTTACCCTTAATCAGAACACATAGTTTTTTTTTTATCATCGTCAAAGTTTACACATCGCTTTATTTTTTACTTTTATGTTCCCTATTGTTTATTTTATTTACTATCATCATTAGTTTTTCCCATTTTTTTCCATTTGGTGTTAACACAACAAACATTGGTATTTAAAAGGTGTCGGTATTTATACATTCTTTCTCTTACAAAATATTCCTGTCAAACGTCTAAATTCCAAACGCTATGAAGTCGGATTTAATACTCCAAGGGTTATCAGTCTTTTTTTAGTTGTTTTTTTTAGTTTTGCTCTTCAGTCAAATATGTTTTGTTTAATTTATAATCTATAAATTTGAGGTTTTTTCAAATGCTATTTCTAAAAACATATTCAAAGATCTATTTTATTCAATATGCTTATTCTTTATGATAAATAAATGATTGTTAACCAAATAGGAATAGACCAAATGATATGTATAAGATTAATTCAGTCAAATCTAAAATCTATAAGGACATTACTGCCATTGCAATCTGTTTCAACAATTACTGATTAACTCTGAGGCATAGCTGAATAGCAAGAGCATGTTATAGAAGTAGGAAGGCAAATAGTTATCGTAAACTAGCGTGAAATTACCTTCTACAACAGATGTAGTAACGAGGATGTTACCAGTAGCAGCATGTTATTTACTCCTGGTTATTTCATTTAATTGGGGATTAATTAATTGTCTCATTTTATAATCCGATAGTGTTAAATAACTGTTAATTAAATAACATCTAATCCCCAAAACTTTTGGTCCACTATATGAGAACTGATTTTGTATTTTTTAAATATTTTATAAAAAACAATTATTAATTCGAAGAAAGGGAGATCGTAGGTAACAAAAAGGTAGTTGGTTTCGTACATTAATGTACAAGTTTATTCAGCTCCATTATTAAAAAAACGTGCCATTAGTACTTTTCATATTTTGGTAAAGTATATAATAATTACAAGTAGGTTTTCGATGGGGTCAGATATTCGGAAAAGTTTTTTATTTAAAAATATGGAATAAAGACTTGCATATTTAAATAGTTAATCTAAACAAAGAAACTTGATACTTTAATTATCAGAATGAATTAAAATCAATTATTATTATTTAATTTATATCAAATCGGTAGCTTAAAAGAATACGCCAAACTCAAAAACAAATTATTTCAACTCCAGCGTAATCAAAACCATCTTTATATACATGTGAGTGTAAAAATATACAGGCACTCAAACATAAAAATATATCAAAAGTAAGTCTTCCTCCAAGTGCCGGTGAATTGTGAACCACTTGTCACAAACTAAGATTTAGTTTATAATATTTCTGAAGTATGCTGTTAGATCAATAGAAAATTGAAATCTCTTGTAATAATACCTCTTTTAAATCATGGAATCGAAATCATATTGCATTGTTTTTTATGTAGAACAGGATTTTGACCAACACGGAACTGCTTAAGGAATTCTGTCCATTCCACTCCCCAACATACTTTCTCATTATCCGTTCCTATCTCGATGACATAATAATCAATGTAGAAAATAATCCATTCACAATCTCACAGATGTAATATCTATTAATGGACAAATAATGTACATATTCATCATTTTCTCACGTTCTGTTGATTGCACTCAAGATGATATCCTAGATTTCATCCTCGTTGCCTTAGATACAGGTACAGACCCCTTTTTATCAAATTATAAACATCCGAATAAAATTTCGTGAAATGCTTCCTTTATCTTATAGTAACCTACAATTTTTTTATATACGAAAATTTTAAAAAATAAGGCGTTTTTTTCATTAAATTAATTAATTTCGTGAGGTAAGTAAAAACTCATAAATACTCACTTGAACCGTTAGATAATTTGATCACAAAATTACAAGAAAAAGAAGTACCCTACAAAAATTTTGTGGATATATATATATATATATATATATATATATATATATATATATATATATATAAATATATATATATAAATATATATATATATATATATATATATATATATATATATATATATATAAATATATATATATAAATATATATATATATATATATATATATATATATATATATATATAATATATATATATATATATATATATATATAGCATCCTTATTTTGACATGTTGGGAATGGAGGTCACAAAAAATGATCCAATAAACGTTAATAACTAAGCTCCCCACTGACTATAACTTTAATTATGTATATCTAAGATGATTTTGCATATATGTATGTATTTATATAAGGTGGAGAAAATCTTTCAAATTGAACCTTTTTATTTTCTTAAATTTTAGGATTTTTTTTTTTTTTTTTGTACAATCGAATTAAATCGATCATATTTTTCTATTTTCTGTCACTAAGAGAATTACAAACCATTGTAGACAGATGAAATAACTTTGTTATGTTAATAAAATAAAGAGAAAACTAGTGTTCGCCCAGTGGTCGGACCATAGTCATTAATGGAACATCTGAGGAAAACTTAAATTTATTTGGTTCTTTTTAACATTATTTTGTCTCCCCTTATACATACCCCTGCACTTATACCCCGTGCATTCACTGTTATTTCTATTTAAAGAAAAAAGAGCAATACCATTTTTGTTATTTTTGAGTTATTGGCATTTTTTTTTAACTTGAACCCACTTTGCTCATTAGATCAAAATTTGAGGAAAAAAATTTCTTATTTTTCGATTGCTATGAAGATTCGTATTTGAGATTTTTCCAGCTGCCAAATACCAATCACGATTTGGTTTCTACTTAAAAAATATTTAAACCAACTTTGTTTCTTTGTTTGGTACAAATTGTTTCATTTCAATAATGTAATTACACTATAGCAATATGTCAAATATGAGTTTTTATTGATAAATCTCGCCTAAAAAATATTTTTAAAAAAGTAATAAATAAAATATCTTTTCGGATAAGATTCTTATCGATTTCGTTGATTTTTCTCCCCTTTAGTAGAGAATTCAGGAAGTTTTCAAATAGGTTTAATGAATCATAAATTATTTTCTGTTATTCTCTAGTAAAATTCTGAATCCAACGCTAATTTTTTTTCAGCCTGTTTTCGGAGAAGTTATAAACATAAATTCGGAAGGAGACCTTATCTATGTATTATTATAATCGTTACAGCCGTTTTGGCGTTATAATCTTTTCAGATTTTTCAGTCTCCATTTAAAAACGAAAGATCGCATAGTAATGAAATGCATATGAAAACATTTCTGAATTTGATTGCAATGTTGTATCAAAATTTCAAAGCAATCGTTGAAAAACTTTAATATTTAGTGTTTTTAAAGAAACTACCATTTACATTACATTTAAATACAGTTTTCATTTTTTTTATAACACTGATGCTCATCAATAGATAATAATAATAGTAAAAAAAATAAAAAAAAGAGTTGAGGAACGGAGGAGAAAAGGGGATTGAAATCCCCAGGAAATAAATAAGATCGTTGCTTATTTATGAAATGGATGATATATAATAAAAAAAAAAATGTTTGACTAGGTATGACTTATGCTGTATGACGTGTGTATACTTGCGTTCAATGTAGCATTACTTCACTTTGTTTATTATTGTGATTTATAGGTGTCAAAACAATAAAATATTAGTAATAGTTTCAACTGAGTGATTTTTCAATGTCAATGTGTCTCACTCAGCCTTTCGAATATTCTAATACTCTTGTACAAGTTGGAAGTCCAAAAGACCAAATCCTTGACAGATCGCCCCCCGCTACCAACGAGAGGCTATATAAGAGAGAGGTGAACCCAAGGACCTCTCACTGTTTCCTTCCACTTGGTGTACCGGAGTCTACTAGTCGTCAGAGCCCAAGCAGCCTTTTGGAAACATGTACAAGGTAGTGTAGCAAGTCCTCTGTTATTTCATATATTTCCCGGTCCAATGCCAGAAAAAAATAAAATAATTCCGCCTAGATTTTATTTAATCTCACAATAGTTAATTTTCTATTTTTTATCTCTGAGAGAATCGGGCTAACGAAAAATATGCAAATTCATGATGTTACCACTTAAAATTTAACAAAAAAATAAAAATTTTAATAGGTATTATGAACTCCTTTCTTGCCACCGATGGTAAGAGGTAGCTATTGAATTCAATATTTTAATAAACACAAAATTTAACACTGAAGCTATATATTATCAATAAAAAGATTTTTTATTTTATTTTTTATTTTTTTTGGATCGTCATTACGGGATTAATATTGTTTCTTTCATGTTTTAAATAAAAAAGATCTCACATTTATTTATTGTAAAATTTTAAAAATTTTGTCCTTGGTAAAAATATTAATAATAAATTCAAAAATAAAATAAATAATTTAAAAAAATATCACGCAATTATAAAACAACTTTCGTCTAATTTACGGTTGTGGATTCGGTCACCCACCATTTCATGATCGTAAAAATATGAATATATATTTGCTCAATGAATAATCAAGATTAAAATATCTCTTTTAAAAGAAATTTGAAAAAAAAAATTTAATTATTAAAAATATATTTCTGTAGTTGAAAAGTTAACTTTCACATTAGTATGGGATTTACTTTTTTTCTTTCTACTTTTTTTAATTTTTAGAAATATCATGTATCAACTATGAGAAACCATTTATTGTATAGTTATAGATAGATACCTATTATGAGTTTTATACGTAAGTATAAAATACAAAAAAAAAAAAAAAAAAAAAAAAAAAAAAAAAAAAAAAAAAAAAAAAAAAAAAAAAAAAAAAAAAAAAAAAAAAAAACCTGCCATTAAAATACATACCTTTATTTATATCGATTGGTTTATTCGGTATTATTAGTAGTAGATATTTATTTTTCAAAATTACATCATCTCTTTTATTGATTTTTCGTTTAAGTTCCGTTCTACCTTAGGATATATTTGAGGATTTTTTGCTCTAATACTGATTTCCTGTCATTAACACTCACTATTGGTAAAAGAAATATTTGAAATTGTAAAAGAAATTGACCAATAAGAAACAATTTTCTTTCATCTAAAACTTACCAATACCATATGATGGATATATTAAAAACAAGAACCAATCGGAATCAAAATATATCCTTCATGATACGCCATTAATTTTTATTTTTATTAATTAAAATTATTAACAGTTATCAATTGGTTTTATAATTAACTTTAATATATTTTTTTATTGTAAGTATAATCTTCATGAATATAGTTACAAGATTAAATATTAGTACATTTACATTTAAAAAGTATGTTTTATCTGAAGGATAGGGTGCGAACGAAAGCTTTAATTGAACTCCACGTGGAACCAAGATAATGTTAAAGGTCAGAGGTTTTTGAAATACTATAACGCAATACTTGACTGTGGTGCGGGCTAAAATATCTCGTCCAGTGCCTCATATTTAAAGTAACCATGTTTTCAGTATATTGACAGTATTATATTACGAAATACTCCACAATTCTATCTATTTTAATTATAATTAATCAATTAATTATAATTATAAATTAATTTATTTTTAGTAATGGGTTATTAAATATTAAATGTTTTTTTTAATATTAATTTCTGGTTGTCATTACCATTTTGACAGGTGTGAATAAAAAAATAAACCAAAAAAAAAAATATATTAATTTAATTGCTAAAACATATCAGTAAAAAAACAAAACAATGAATTTATGATATACAGTATGATCTAATACATGAATATGTCTAAATGTTAAACCGAACATTAATTTATCAGTTTTGATGTAAGTATGATACAGTATTATATTTATTACGTTCTTCATATATACATTTGCTGTTTTTTAATTTAGCGTTCTGTTTTTATCATCATTCTATATTATTAGTAACTTTTCTCGTATTTATTTATAAATAATTGCTTTTACTATGCCATAAATGGTGTTCTTCATGGTATCATCCTTGTTCTCGTATAAATACATGGTTATGAATCTCTGTTGAAACTTTTGAAAACTCGTAATTTAAACTTTTTTTTAAATATTACAGGAGTTCACTCTTAATTTTCATTTATTTTTTAAATAGGAAAAGAATCAGAATTTAATTAATTTGCAATGAAATAGGCAGTCAGGATCGTATTTGAGAATGTACATTAATGTTTGATAAAAAAAAGTGTCTGATGAATGTTTAAAAGGAGAAAACCCGTGGCAGAAGCATTTTTTGTTTAAAAAAAAATAAAATTACAAACAACCTGACCACCAATTTTAATTTTGCTCTGTTCGTTCAACTGCACATCTAATATTTATCTAATCTATCTAGCATCTATGCTATGTGCAGCGATAGACATTATGTATAAAAGAAAGACAAAATAATTAGAGGATATAATTTATAAATTTATTGAAGGAAGTTATTAGACTGTTCTACATGTCATAGGTGATAAATAGTCAGGACGCAGTTATTTTAAGATTGTTATTATTATCGACGTTTCGACACAAACATGTGGGTCGAAACGTCAACGGTAACAATAAAAATCTTAAAATAACTGCGTCCTGACTATTTATCCCCTATGATATAATTTATACTACTTGTGCAGTGGTGGAATCTGTATTTAAAAAAAATTGGTTGCTTTAAATGAATTATATCAAATTTTCCTTACATAAATTCTTTAAATTATATTAATATTTCCAAATGAATAAATAAAGGAGGTATACAATCAGATTTACAGATGGTGATATAAGTTTCCTACCAATCGACTTATAACGGACACTTCTCTACTAACATAATAATCTTTTATGAAGTGCAATTTTATCGATTGCTCTTTTGCGATATCGTGGAAAATCTGCGATGAGATGAGAGAAAGGCTGCTGCAATTGCAAGACCTTTGGACCTTCACCTTTCCAAAACAATTTGACGAACGATTTCAGTTGTTAACAACAGCTTGCATTCTCCGACTAGTTAGTCCTTCGTTGGAATAATTTTTATTCAAGGATTTTATTAATTCATAACTTTCAAGAAATAGAATGTGATGGATTGATATGTACTTATTTTTCTTTTATAGTAATTTCTAATTAAAAGTAAATGTTCTTAAATTAATGCCCATTTGCCATGCATGAGACTAATTTTCTTGAAATTAAAATTGATTTTTGGTAATGTGAAACTTTTTTTTTTTTCTCAAATGGCATACTTCAAAACGCTTTGAATTTATTTAATTTTTTTTTACCCACACTAGTCAGAAGTACTGACAATTACTGCTAACGAAACTAGATAGTATTTATATGTTGTCCATAAGCACTTAACTTTGAACAAAGTCTTTATTTGGTGTCTTTCCAGCGTTATTCTTGGTCCTAATGCACTGAATTATTTTTCTTCTTGGCTATCTGGGTTTTTTTTATTCTTTTTCCTACTAGAATTTAGGAACGAAATATCATACGATTGAGACTATCAAAGTAAAATAACATCTGGTTCCTTTGACCACATCGGAATCACCTACAATTGCCTCCATAGTGTTTTTTTTAAATATTTAAATTAACTAATTTGTTTTTGTGAATTTTTTTATAATTACATATCTGAGAGGCTCATAATTAAGATATACGTTAGGTGTGTTTTAAACGTATATAGTTAAATTTCTGCATATATAATGACCTGGCGAGTTAGCTCCCAGAATATTACATTTCAAAATAAAGAAAAAATTAAATATTGAACTTGAAATAATATAAAATTTAATTTTATCTAATAGTAGACCCCCGATAGTCTCCGTTACCGACCCTTTTTACCAAATTATTAAAACTTCATGAATGGCTTCATCTTATAGTGACCTACAACGTTTATGTTTACAAAAATTCTCAGAGATGCGTTTTCAATCTGGAGATTGGTAAACTTTGAAGTCATGAACATCTTTTCGTTGCCTTGGTTTGAAAAAGTTCTAATCTCATTTAATATAATTTTGAAAACACAGCTCCAAAGTTATAATTTACTGCAGCATGAATATTTTGATGCTTCGACTAACAATTTTTTTTTGTACAATATCTCGAAGCTGTGGACTTGATTTTGCATTCATTGATGACGATGACTTAGTTGTATCACTTATTAATATAATTTTAAATATTGAAATTTTGCTGTTTGAACTTTATCATTCCAGAATACATTTTCGTTGTAAAACAAAGTTCTAAATGCAGGTAGCAGCATTCTGAAATATGGGGTTTCACGTTTTATGGCGGGTCCGAAAAATCGAAAAGGCGAATTGAATAAAAATATTTCGTACTCATTGATTGATTAAATTGCAAATTAAATAACAAATTGATTTTTTAAATTATTATATCCTTTTTAAGTAAATGAAACTAAAGGTTTTTTATTTTTTATTTCAGAAGCAATAATCTACTTTTAAACCATTTCCAATGTAGTTATGATTAAAGAAAAAGTAATAAAAAAGACAGAAATATGTTGTTGTTTTTTTTACAGTAACAACACCAAAGTAAAATTTTCAAAAAAATATTTCTAATAATCTAATGATCTGTGCATTGCTAAAACCAACATAAATAGTGCAAAATTTGTTTGTATACACTACATATATTTTTAGATGTTTTATCACCTAGAGTTTTACCATAATATATTTTTTGCGTTTTTTCTACAAATTATGAAAGTATCACATATGACGCTTCTGGAATAACCGATTAAAATATGTTATAGACAAAGAATAGACCTTTACTAATAATATAAGTAATATTTTGTTAACTCTCATGAACTATATCTAAAAATTTACATTACAGGAGGTTTTTAAAATTGTGATTAAAGTTTAGGTTATTGTTTTTATGGACTCTCAACAGTCAGCTAATTAGTGCCCATCTTCAAATTATATTTTCCCTACTATTTTTGTTTATCTATAATATTTTATTGAACATATTATTTTTTTAAGGACATCGATTATTGGTTCTGTATTGGTGCTGTTACCTTCTAATATGTTTTCGAGATTTCGTGATACTCCCACATTATGAAAAAGCCTATCATGTCGTGTACAGAATAGTTATTAAATATTGATTAATAGCTATCTCAAAAATAATAATAAATAAAAGTCATCTTTTCATTTAAAACCTTACCATGAATCGTATCGTTTATTTTATTATAAGTTCATCATCGTTTCTATTTCCTGTTCCTTTCCTATGTTTCAACTCTTACCGGCCATTAAGAGAATATCGTTTCAAGACTCATTACAGAAATATTTTTGATAAATTCTATAATTTGCGCTAAACTAGAGAAAGTGCGGATGTTTATCAGCTTTCACTATCTTAAGATATTATAACTTTCAAACTCAAGGCGTCTAACGGATGTTCAGAATTAAAATAAATTACACAGTAATGTCAGCAATTAATTATTAATAATATCTTCATGTATTTTATATTGAAATACTAAACTAAATATTTGTTTTAACTTGTTATCTTGATACTGTCATGTAAACCAGTGAATTAGATGATGCGATGTAACACAATAGCGTGAGAGGAATGAGGCATTACAGCGGTACCCGATGGCATCTCCTCTTAAACGTGATATCTACATTAATTGTTAGGCGAGGAGGTCTCTCATCCACCTCCTTTTCAATCTTCGACCCACGTTAACTTAAATATGTTTTGCTTTATTTTTTATAAAACTACTTTTTACTTGCCGTCTATCGATATTAAAAGTTAGATTTGTTTTTTTCATTTGGTCCATTTGTTTCTATTAATGTTTTATTATTTATTCGTTTATGAAGAATGCCTCATGAAAATAAAGTCGATTGTAAAAATCTATACAATCGTAACTATTTTGTTTGTTTGTATACATATTCGTGTGAGATTATCTGTCATCACTAAACATTATTTTTAAAAAATCTAATTTTTATAACTTGTGGCTGTATTTTAAATATATTATCAATAATAACTACTACGTTTCCTCATTATTCGATTGAATTTTTTTTTTAATTTTTTTTTAACGCCTTTTGACGCTTCTTGACTTCCGCAATTAGTCTTCTCGCAGCATCGGCGCTGTTCAAGAAAATAAGCTGTAATCGTTTGGTTCTCTTCTTATGTAGATGATATTCAGGGAGCACGTTGTTTATAATAACCGGACGCGATCACAATCACTCCTTCTTCATCAAGATGGTTATTACTAAAATTTTTGGAATTATTAAAATTCAGTATTTGAATAAGTAGAAGTAGAAGATAACGACTATAATACATGACTGATTGTTTTAACTAATAAAGTTATATTAAACTCATAATTACAAATTATGATCCATTCCTTACAAGCAAATAGAAGATAAAACAAGTTTATAATCACCTCTTATAAAAAGGTGACGGATTCTAAGAAAGAAAGTTTTGTATCTTGAGACCATTCAACGCCTCAATTTTTTTTTTTTTTTGTTTTCCTTTTAACGCCTAATGGAACGAAAAGCTCGCCCCACGGCACGCTATTTCAAACCCATTTTTTGAATACTTGTACCAACACTTGTCAGAAGTAGTGACAATTACTACCAAAGTCTTTAATTGGCATCTTGCCAGCATTATTCTAGGTCCTCAAGCACGAAATTATTTTTCTTCTCGTCTGTCCGGTTTTCTTATTCTCTTTCGTCCTAGAATTTGTGAAAGGAATATCATGCGATTGAGCCTATCAAAGTAAAATAACATAACATAATCCTTTTATATCTTGATCACATCGGGACCACCTGTAATTGCCTCCATAGTGTATTTTTAAAATATTTAAATTAACTATTTGGTTTTTGTGATTTTTTATAATTACATATCTGAGGGACTCATAATTAAGATATAACTTAGGTTTGGTATAAACTTATATAGTTTAATTTCTGCAAATATAATGACCTGGCCAGTTAGCTAGCAGAATATTATATTTCAATATAAAGAAAAATTAAATATTCAACATGAAATAAAATAAAATTTAATCTTATCTAGGAGTAGACCACAAATAGTCTCCGGTACCGACCCTTATTGCGTTTTCAATCTGGAGATTCATTCGCTGATGACACAGCTGTCCTATCTTGCAATCTAGATCCTAAAACAGCATCCTCAAACCTACAAAGTCACCTTTCTCTTATTGAACATTGGTAAAATAAGTGGCGCATCAAAGTAAATGAATCCAGATCCAAATACATCACTTTTACCCTTCGGCGCAAGTCCTATCCACCAGTCTACTTCAAATCCATACCACTTAATCTCTCTGACACAGTCCGGTATCTTGGCTTTCTTCTAGATAAAAGACTTACATGGAACCCTCATACCAGACTTAAAAGACAACAACTAAACAGACGATTCGGACAGCTATATAGACTAATGAATAGAAAATCTCAACTTTCAGTCGACAACAAACTACTAATCCACAAGACAATCCTGAAACATATCTGGACCTATGGACTAGAGCTGTGGGGCTTAACAAAACCTTCTCACATTAAGCGCATTCAATCCTTTCAGTCTAAAGTCCTCCGAACAATAGTCGATGCTCCCTTCTATGTATTCAATAAAACCCTCCATAATGACCTTCATATCCCATTTGTTATTGACCTAATCCCAGACAAATTTTAACCAGAAACTCACTCATCATCCAAATCCTGTAGCACAATCCCTATCTAGCTCCAGCCATCCCTGCAATCCTCCCCGGAGGTTAAAACGGCAGTGGCCACGCGATCTTTCGTAAATATGTATATTTGAGTAGTGGCAATGGCCAGATTCTCCACTCATGTCCTGAGCGTCTGTTGCTCTAGTGCCCTCCATCAGCCTCCACTGGTATTGCAAGCCAGTGGAGGCTGGGCGCGGCTGGGAGAGAAGCACTGGGACCTCCTGGGGTCCAATAGGAATAGGTATATATTCATATAGGTATGAATGTGTTTTATATTTTAATTTCATTTAGCTTTTCTCTATTTTTTTCTTTCCTCTTGTTTTTTTTATTTATTTATTTTTTTGTTTTGCCTATGTTATCATCGTATATATATATTGTATGAATGTTTAATGTAGCCCTAATATTAATGCCCTCCAATGCGGCAGCATGTATTATTTTTCAAAAAAAAAAAATCTGGAGATTGGTCAACTTCAATTATAATTATAAACGAAGTATAATGTAGTGTATTGCAGTTGGAACCTTCTCAAACCAATTACTTTCATAATTCGTCAGCAGTTAAAACTATGTCACACAGCTAGTTTATTTATTTTTGAACTGATGGCACTAAAATTTATTTGGAACATAGATAAGATTGTCGTGATTGATTTGTGAATGACAACTCAATTTGCCCAAGTTTGTTAGTTAGAATATGTTCAAACCAAGGCCACGATTTGCTTTCCACTTGAATCGTAAGGTAATTCGGTTACGGATTCGAGAAAAATGGTGGTATCCAAAAATACTGATTCGTTTTGTCTCACCTCCTCCCCCCAATATAAATGAATGTCACCTCTCAGTATAGTAAGCTGATAACTATGATTCCTCTTCAGGTCTTGTTATTAAAAATAAATACATTAAATCGAAATGAACAGCAAATACAAAACTAGTTAGTAACTTGGTATTATTAATTTAGTGAATATATAATTGATCATGGTTGCAGATTCTCGGCGTCGTTTGGGTGGTAGCGCTGAGCTCCGCGGCGGCTCAGAGCCAGGAGGAGCTGGCGCAGTTCGTGGCGAGGCAGCAGACCTTGGGGGCGCTCGGCGGCGGCGGCTACCAGGCCCCGGCCCAGCCTGCGGCCCAGCCCGGCAGGAGGCAGGCCTACTTCCTCCCCCAGGGCAAGTCCGCCCTCCAGGCGTCGCCCCAGCAGCAGGTCTACCAGATCCCGCAGTCCAAGGCCAACGCTTATCAGGTGAGCAGCGTTTTCATTTTAATATTTCTTTTGTTTTTCCTTAAAAATCTATTTCTACCTGTGAATTGAGAATAACTGTACTCAGCAGGACATTTTCCCCTGGATTGATCATAACTATCAAATAACTTCTTTTTAGCCTCATTATGTTATTCAAGAGCATATATCTAGGAGCGGACTGGTTGCACATCGCAAATCGTATGCGCAGCATGCCTTGCAGCCCGGATAGAATATAATGTGATAAAATAATACCGAGGATGTGGAGGACGAAAAACAGAAAAAAACAAAAAATCTGATGTGTCCACTCACACGACTTTCCTACCTATTTCAGAAATGTTTTTATATCTTTACATACGTTCATGAAGAAACAAAAAAGAGTTGGACTAGATTTATTTTCCTGAAAATTGATCAAACAAAAGATTTGTGTAAGATTTATTTGATAAACTGAAGCAATGTAAACCAACTTAAGATAGGTCAGTGTAAAAATTTCAATACTCACTAATATTGCTGATCAAAAACTTTTTGCCATAGCTTAGTAATGTCAAACAATAATTGCTGTTAAAAGTAGAGGAAATAGCGAAGATTGTGTGATGCGTGCAACAGATTTTCTTGCTTTCACTTAATCATCTTTATTCTCTCGTTCACCCCTTTCTGACACCAGGATATGAACCCGAAATCTTACATTGGAAATTAAAGAGCTGTAACTTCGTTAATAGTTGTCCAAAATGAACGATTTTTATATGGCTTTGTAGGGAATTTCATTATCTTTCAAACGACAGGCTAACGACTCAAGGGGCTCTGAAACGTGTAGACCGGTAGTAATTTAATTACCTTTCAAAATTTTTATTATAAATATTACCGTATAATATATACTTAGAGAATTAGGCCCCATAACAGTCTTCTTTTCTTTATAACTTTTTTTCTGATTTTTTTCACGAATTTAGTCTATATACGAAAATTGAAAGGACAATGATAAGAACATTATAGGAAAGTTTCATCAAAATCGTTAGAGCTGTTTTCGCGCTACAGTCTAAAGAAAAACAAGTTTTTCATTTCTTGCGCGCGAGCTATTGCGCATGGAGCACCGAATTTCTGTCACAGACGTCAGTAGTCAAAACCCTAAAAAATAAAAAAAGCAACGAAATCGGTTCAGTAGTTCTCGAGAAAATCTTGGCACAGACCAATGGCTAAAAATGTGTTTTTCGGACTCAGGGGGCTCTGAAACGTATAGATCCGTCGAAAACCGCATGTCGAAAATTTGACCCGATTGCAATACTTTCCTTACCTAGTATAGGTAGGAAAATAAAAATAAGAAATGGGGGCATACTTATAATTAGCCTATAGGTATGTCCATGTAAATCATAAATTATAACTTTGGCCACCTAATCTATCGTAAGGCCAGTGGAGATCATGATATTTTGTGAGAATTACTTTATTTCCAGCTTAAGTAGTAGGAAATATTTCATTGTTAACAAGTAAATACGATATACAGTAGAGGAGTCAGTAGTAAATCTTTGGGTTCTCTCATGAAGACTGGACGAATAGAAGTAACTTAAAAATTCGATATTTTTATTCCCCGTGTTTTATGTGCGCAATAAGCAAATGTGGTTATTTTGAATATGATAATGGCATTTCAAGCAAAATAAATATTAGTACCCAGTACCACTTCTTTCCGGTCATGATCAAGTCCCTTGATTCGCGTATTTCTCTCGTCCAGCTCATTTTTAAGCTCCTTGAGTATGGTTATGTCAGCCGCAGCCATTTTGTTAATCAGTCTGTTGTTATGCCCTTAAAGTTTATTATGGGAACCGGAACAAAGATGAGAAGTATGTATTTTTTGGTCGATAGTTGGTTGTTTTTAATCGCAATGCAAAGTTTTGTTGTTTGATAGCCATGGAGCGTCTGTTTAAATAAATATTCTTAAATTTCATTGTAAATATTGTAATTTTTGTAAGTGCGTCTTTTTTTTTTATCTATAAAACTGTGTGAGGTATGTCCATACGGGTTTAAGTAGGTATGTGTACGTATTTATTTTCGGTCTGGTTTTCAGTTTTGATGATTTGAAAAATATGAGTAGAGTAATAACAGTTTTTTTTTTTAAGGCTTTTTTTTCATTTGAACGTGTGGGTACCAAATAATCTGTTTGAGGAATGGGTTGTCGCTGATTAAAACTAGCGGACACGTGTCCCGATGCGTCGAAGAGTCCATGCTGTTATTTGTTATTTGCTTTGAAAGTGATCGCCAAATTTTGAAAATTTATTAAAGTAATTTATTAAAGTATATAAAATTAAAACTAAATATTTAAATTTTGTATATCTAGCGAGTCCTATCTTGTGTCATGGTCTATTGTTAAAATTGTTATAATCCAAAATAACGTCTTATGCTAAGTTTAAATACAGTTACTAATTTTTCATATCTAATGCTGAATAAGCGCATTATCTTCAACAGAACTATGTAACGTGAATGTGGTTATAATTTTTTATTTTTTGTATTTCTTCATTCCTCCATCTCAAAAACTATTTATGCTCGTATAATTTGTAAATTCGATTACATTTTTACAAACTCAAACGGTTTCTGGCAGCCATTAAATCTATTTCGTATCGCCCATCAAATATGCTTCCTTGCAAGTTGCATATAGACTATAAGTCCAAGCTAATCCAAAATTGCCTTTGTCACGATGGTGTTCAGTTGCGCCATTATGTTCTTGAGAAACCTTCAGGTTCCTCCTTATCATGTCGTCATCGTCTTTAGCCACGAAACAACAGGGTTTCAAATAACTCCGTATTGTTTTTAATTAGGATAAGATTCCTTGTATCCATCAAATATTGAATAACATATTATGTATCCCATATACTTTCTAAGCTTCTTCTTAATAATTTATCTAAATCAGTAAAAAGAATCACGATTCATTGAAACATAAATTAATTTGTCGTCAAAAACAGATGGGCTTAAATTAGAAAGATTCCATTATGTGACATTAAAAATAGCGAGGCAGCAAAATATCGAATACGAATAACATGAATACATAACTAATGGTATATTAATTTGCCAGCTTTTTATCTCAATCTGTACACGAGGCAACTTCCATTGTTCTCCTGCTTATCTCTAGCATATTAAATTGAATAGATGGAATAAAAGAAGTTTGGTTATGGATTTACATGATCTTATATGATCAATATAATTATATTGATAATATTTTATATGACAAGTGTTATGGTAAGGGAGGAGAAGAAGAATATGCATATGTATAATAACAAAATAATGTAATTTAGAATTATGTCCATATAGATTGATTAGTATGATGTGTGCAAAGCCCTCTGAAGTAGGGTTGCATTACTTTCAATAAAGTATTTCTCTCTTTCTTGGTACGAATACATAGATCAAAATTGTAATACAATAATCATTTGAAAAACAATATATTTTTTCTTATTTCCTTCCAAATGCTTTCAATAATTTCTTCTTCAATTATTTATAAAAAGGTGGCAGGAGCTGATCCTTACTACCAACCCCAGCAGCCAAGCGCAGCTCCCCAGTATTACCAACCACAACAACAATACCAACCACAACCACAGGCTGCACCACCAAGGAAGTTGGTGAGGCCCGCAGCCAGGGAAGAAGAAGAAGTAGCCGAGGTAATGGAATAATAATATTAACGTTATTGTCTTTTTATAACGATATAACATTTATCACTACTGTTAGTGCAAAAGCTCGTATGTAAAAATTGACTTTCTTTACAGACGAGAAAAAAAAGCGATTATTTCTTTATGATTTATTTTTATAATTTTATATTTCATTTCCATCTGCTTATTTCCTATTTAACGGGCTGCTTATAGCTGTGGCACAGTTGTGAAAAACTTTGAATATGAGATTTTTAGAGTGAAAGTAATTCAATTAAAACAGAAAATATGTTTTAATATTTTAAATGATAATACATATAAGTGTATAAGGGTTAATACTGTTGTCCGCAACTATCGCCTACTAATCAGCAACAAGTATTTGAACAATTGTCCTAATAATTAATTGTCCACCCGATAGAGCTGCTACACATCGATCCAATTACAGCCATCGATACGGCGTGGTGGCAGGGAACCGGTACCTTGCATAAGACTACACCTTTGAGCCACTGCGGTCGTGGAGAAAGTATTTAGGCCAACCCAACACAACAACCAATGATATAACAGGGCTCTATGTCCTCTTGGGGCAGGTCTGGTCCGTTTACGAAATTTCATTTACATTGAATATTTAAACACTTATATTATTTAATCTAAAGTCAATAAAAATGAGCCAAAACCAGTATACCTAAACCAACTGAAGGTACATGAACTGGACATAAACAGAATTTCGAAAATAAGCAATTTTCATATCATACGAGCATTACTATTTGCAAATTTCAAGATTTGAATTTTCGATGGTTACGAAATTGGTATTTTTGCTTTAACTGTCAATATCAACAATTATTAGTTGTGTTATAACCGTCCGTTTAACATTGGATTGAAAGCATTTAATAATTATTTTGTATTTGTATATTGTCTCTCGGCAATACGGAATTTCTGTTGAAGCATTCCTACCATTTCAACCATTTATTCTATTAATTATTCGTTCATCCTCCTGGTTTCATTCCTTCTCGTTGAAGGAGGTTGAAAAGATACACGAAAGCTTCGTAGTATGGGTGGTTTCTCGCAAACTGAGAGAAATCGTGATGTTGTTGAGTCTAGTTTTCCTCAGTAGTTTGGTCCTTATTGTCTCAAAAGTCGTGCAGGTCGTGACGACATGCTCACCAGTTTCCAGAACACCACAACATAATATAATAACAATTAATTAAGATAAAAATCTTAGGTAGCAATTAAATACAACGAAACCTTAAAGGATACAGGAAGGTAGGACTGTAAGAAGCTGGTTCGATAAACATTTAAAGTATAGTATATTTTTAAAATGGTTCTTTTTGTCACTTATTATTTATCAAAGAGGGTTTATTTTTTTCTTAGATGATTATTATTCATGTCGATAATCCTCCAAATGTCGATGGCCATAGATCCACCATCAACAAAGCTAAGCATCTACAAGCCACTGATCAGGCCTGTGTTCATCAACAGCGGATCCAGGATTTAATTTTTGGGGAGGGCTTCAGCCCGAAACCTTCTTTTTTCATAAAAATAACGATAATTACTTTGGAAAAACAGAAAGAAACTAACTACCTATATGAAATGGTGTTTAAGTGATTCCTTAAGTCCTTTTAAATGTAATTACACGAACAATAATAATTTAAGAAGTATTTTTTAAATTTTTTTTTCCATAAGACATGGTTGTATTTTTCCATTTTGGGGGGGGGCCTCAGCGAAAGCCCCCCTCCGTAGATCCGCCCGTGGTGTTCATCAATGGTTTACAATGTTAGAAATTAATAAGAACACACGAAGATATTAGGCTCTTTGCTTAGTAATAGAGTACGAAGAGCCTGAAGCAACGCAAAATAAGCATGAAAATTGAACTGTACAAGACCGTGATATTAAAGAACTTTCAAGCAAGACACTTCCAGGAAGGGCATTGGAGGTATTACAAATTACCCAGCACTGAATATAATCAGTCTTATAGCCTATATAAAACTTCGTGAATCGCTTCATCTCATCGTAACCTACAACTGTTTTATTTACAAAAATTCTCGGAATTGGGGCATTTTCAATCTTGTGATCTACTAACTTTGTTTATTTAATTACGTGCTAAAAACTCACGAACACCCATTTGCTATCCTCTTAAATCCTAAGATAATTAAATACACATACATAATATAACCGATAAAATTTTAATAATAACAGGTTAAAATAAATTTATTTTGGATTAATTTGAGCATTTAGAATGCAATAGTATATTAATAGTTATGTCATCATAATGTGAGGGATTATTCGTTTGGTAGAAGAATGAATCGAGAATTATTCAAACAAAAAAATAATTAGAAATGTTGTGCTTTCAGCTACCAGCAGACTACCAGTTTGGATTCAACGTTAAGGACGACCTTTTCACCAACTACCAGAAGAGGAAGGAGCAGAGGGAAGGAAACAAGATCACAGGAAGTTACAGCGTTGTCGATGCCGATGGCTTCATCAGGACTGTCACTTACACAGCCGACCCAATCGAAGTATGTAACTCCCATAGGCTTTACTTTTTTAGAATAAGATACACTTTGTGGATAGTTATATAGCATTTCCAAGTCAATTTCAACCTTTTCCAAGTCAAATTCAACCTTTTCCAAATCAAATTAAACCTTTTCCAAGTCAAATTCAACCTTTTCCATTTCAAATTCAACCTTTTTTTATTTATTTAATTATCTTTAATTTTTCGATGCGTGGGTCTGTTATCGTATGAGTAGTTTTTTAAAATACCCTCCTTTTTAAGATTACGTGACTGCGTTTCGAATTATTTAAGTTTTTTTGACATATTCGATATAAGGGTGTATTTTTATGTTTCCCGATCAGTAAATTTTTAAAATGACATCTATTTTATGTTTACGCCACTGTGTTTTGATTTATTTAAGTTTTTAGAATTTATCCACTTTATTTTAGAATTTATACACTCTCAATATAAAGGTCTACTTTTTTGTTTCCGAAGCCGTAGATTTTGAAAACGACCTCCATTTTAAGATTAGGCCACCGCGTTTCGACTTATTTGAGTTTTTCGGATATTTTTCATATGAGGGTGTATTTTTATGTTTCCGGAGCTGTAGATTTTAAAAATGACCTCCATTTTAAGATTAGGCCACCGCGTTTCGACTTATTTGAGTTTTTCGGATATTTTTCATATGAGGGTGTATTTTTATGTTTCCGGAGCTGTAGATTTTGAAAATGACCTCCATTTTATGATTACGCCACTGCGTTTTGACTTATTTAAGTTTTTCGAATTTATCCAATATTAAGGTCTACTTTTATGTTTATTGAGCCGTAGATTTTGAAAATGACATCCATTTAATGATGACGCCATTGCATTTTGACTTATTTAAGTTTTTCGAATTTATCCAATTTAAAGGTCTACTTTTATGTTTTCGGAACCGTAGATTCTGAAAATGACCTCTATTTTATGATTACGCAACTGCTTTTCAACTTATTTAAATTTTTAGAATTTAACAAGTATAAAGGTCTAATTTTATGTCTCTGGAGCAGTAGATTTCCCCCATTTTGTAAATGACCCAATTTAAAGTTTATGGCACTGTTTTGGATTATACGTTTTTTTTTTTACTTTTTCGGTATAAGGATCTACTTATATGTTATCCGAGACGTATTGAATTTTTTCTAATCTTTAATATTTAAATTTATCTAATATTTAAGCTCCATTTTATGATTAAGCCGCTGCATCTTGATTAATTAGGCTTCATTTTGGATTCTTTCAACACAAAGTTTCATCAATATGTTTTCGAGTATGAATAAATAAATAAATATTATGAAGCTAAATTAAAATTAACAACAGAATACAAACTAAAAAGCCGAAAAGCAACTGGTAATAAATTTAACCTTCCGTATTCAGATTTTTCAGCTAATTGTTCGAAATCTTATAATTTCGTGATAGGAGACCACAAAATTAAAAAAGATAACTAAAATTAAATTAAAAATGAGACAATACCTATTTTATTTATTTTGATTAGATATTTTTATTTATTTATTGAAAAATAAATTAATCCTTCGTATTATGCTTTTTATTCGAAGGAAAAAGCAAAAACACTTAACAAAACCGAAACACAGTGGCCTAATCTTAAAATGTAAGTCGTTTTAAAAACTAAGGCTCCGGCATCATAAAAGTAGACCTTTAAATTGGATAAATTCGAAAAACTTGAATAAGCCAAAACGCAGGGGCGTAATCTTAAAATGGAGGTCATTTTCAAAATCTACGACTCCGGAAACATAAGAATACACTCTTTTATGATAAAAATTCGAAACACTTAAAGAAATCGAAATGCGGTGGCCTAATCTTAAAATGGAGGTCGTTTTCAAAATCTACGGCTCTGGAAACATAAGAATACATCCTCATATGAAAAAAATCCGAAAAACTCAAAGAAATTGAAATGCGGTGGCCTAATCTTAAAATGGAGGTCGTTTTCAAAATCTACGGCTCCGGAAACATAAGAATACATCCTCATATGAAAAAAATCCGAAAAACTCAAATAAGTCGAAACGCGGTGGCCTAATCTTAAAATGGAGGTCATTTTTAAAATCTACAGCTCCGGAAACATAAAAATACACCCTCATATGAAAAATATCCGAAAAACTCAAATAAGTCGAAACGCGGTGGCCTAATCTTAAAATGAAGGTCGTTTTCAAAATCTACGGCTCCGGAAACATAAAAGTAGACCTTTATATTGGATAAATTCTAAAAACTTAAATAAGTCAAAACACAGTGGCGTAAACATAAAATGGATGTCATTTTCAAAATTTACTGATCGGGAAACATAAAAATACACCCACATATCGAATTTGTCAAAAAAACTTAAATGATTCGAAACTCAGTCACGTAATCTTAAAATGGAGGTTATTTTCAAAACTAGGTACAGGACAGCATAATACTAGTCCCTAAGAAATCCGAATAGGTACAATAAATCGATATCCGTAAGTGAAAATTCTACTTAGGAGAGCATAATAATAGACTTTCATATTGGAGGGAGGGAGGGGATGGCCATTATTTAAAAAAAAAATATAAAATTTACAAAAACTTAAAACATTAATTTGAAATGAAAACGGTTGAATTTGAATTGGAAAAGGTTTAATTTGAAATGGAAATGGTTGAATTGACTTGGAAAAAGTTTAATTTGATTTGGAAAAGGTTGAATTTGACTTGGAAAAGGTTGAATTTGACTTGGAAATAATTGAATATCACATAGAAATATCACACTGAAAAAATCTAAAATGTTAACATAAATGGATATGCAACTGCGTAATCAAATTTTTTTTTTGTATTTTTTAAAAGCTATGCCGTCGATAATATAGTAAGTGGCCTTCATTTCGAAAAAAATCGAAAATTGACAAAAATTCTAAAGTTGAATTTGAAATGGAAAAGGTTGAATTTGACTTGGAAAAGGTTGAATTTGAAATGGAAAAGGTTTAATTTGACTTGGAAAAGGTTGAATTTGATTTGGAAAAGGTTGAAATTGACTTGGAAATGCTATATATATCCTTAATTTTAATTGAAATTATTTCTTTAAAATTTAAAAAAAAGTTTAAAAAAAAATCGACCGATCAAATACTTTACTTACTATTTCATCACATATAAAAAAGAAAACTTTTTTTTTTTTTTTTGAGTCCGTTGAAATATTATGTTTAATTCAACATTTTTTCTATGAGGAAAAATAAAAATTAGGGTTACATGACCTTTTATTTTACTCAATCATTCAATTGTATAATCTTTATTCAATAGTTTCATCGATCAATACATAATTCCATCTCCAAATTTAATTGTAAAAATTCCATAACCATTTATGACTATTAATATTTTTCTTTGTCAAACCCAGTTGTGCTGCTGCAGCCTCAACATTCTTGAAACATTCACAAGCCATCCCACGACTTTTAAACATTAATTTTTGCATTATAATTAGACTTACAAAATTATATGCATTATAATAGGCAAACTTATTTTTATCAATGTTTATTTTCAGGGATTCAAGGCTGATGTGAAACGTGAACCCACTGACATCAAGATCAGGTTCCCACAGCCCGCCCTCCCAGGACCAGGACAAGAGCAAGCTCAGTACCAACCCCAAGCCGGCCCCTCAGCCAGGAAGCAACAGACTCAGCAATACCTCCAGGTATGAAACTTACTTCCGAACATAGAATTTTATCTGTCTTGACAATATAATTGGGACTATGATACTGAAATATTTAAAAATAACTCCAATGAGTCATAATATGATGTGATTAAGGAGGCTAGATTTGGTAGAGAGATGTAACAGACTTTTTAAGTATTGAGAAGATGAAAGAAGAAATTATTAGATATTTCTCCAATCATTCCTTATAAAAGACTGAAAATAATGAACAATGGCTAGATCCCAAGAGCATGTTATTGGCGGATTCTAGAGGAAGGTGCTGAGAAGAATGGAACAAGGCCTCTGGAGAAGAAGGAAAAATATTGAGATTTATGCACCTTACTTAATTGAAGGAAAAGGATAAATTTGTTAGATGACATTTTGGTAAAAATTGAATCAATGCTAAGAATAAAGGCATTAAGTGATATTTAAAAACATACTGGTCTCCTTCATTCACATAAATTCAATGCTTGGGTGGGTCATAACCATTCAGATAGAGTTTTCCATTGATGGTACACATTGGCCTTCTACTGGATATAGGTAATTTTAATTCAGTTTTCTAAGAACTCAAAAATTTTACTATCATCTGTATTCACTTGACCCTTTAATTAAGTCATTGAAGCTTCGCTTGGCGGGTCATGTAGCAAGAATGAAACCAAATGAACTCTAAATGTTTTCAAACATGTCAAAAGCAAGGCCAGTCTTGGTATCAGAAATAGGAAATTGTTTTTTGTTTAGTAAAAAAACAAAAAAATAATAATAATAAACCAAAAAAAAGCAGAAGAATAGATATAGGGCATGCTTTAACTTAGCAAATCCCTCATAAGTCTAGGTAAGAATATTTAGGTTCTCACTATTATTTAGGTTAGCAGTACTGATTTATTTTAGGTAGTTTCACATTATTAGTGGGCAAGTAAATCTCAATGAGGGGCATGAGAATTCATTGTGATTAGGGGCTGTATAAAATCTAATTCTTTTCTTATTAATAATTTTGTTTAGTTGAGTGCAGTCAACCGACAAAAATGGTTTACCTATCAATAATTAATATTAATAAGACTAAATCAGGCAAATGGTTTTATATAATTGATATACAAATTAACAGTAATAATATTTTATCAGGAGCATTCAATACCAAACACATTCTGTTTTCTAAACCTCATAACACATTGTCACATAGGATTCTATATTAAAATATAAAATCCTATGTATAAACAGTAATCAACACAACAAAAAATACTAATCATGCACATAACGCCATCAACTGAAAAAGCAACATAATTACAAATATGAGACGGAGTTCATCGGGAGGGGGGGTGCGGTCAAATTAATACTAAATTAAACAAGCTGAATTATTTAATTTTTGCTGACACTGAGTGTTTCAATTGCCTCCCGCAGTGCTACATCCTACACCCTAATGAAGACCTGCAAAGTGGATCGAAACATCAACAAAAATTAAATAATTCAACTTGTTTAATTTAGTATTAATTTGACCGCACCCTCCTCCTCCCTCCCTCCTCCCCCCCGATCAACTCCGTCTCATATTATATCAACGGGTCAACCATCTCTACATCATTATAATTACAAATAGTTAAAGTCACACTCATTTCAAAGTTTTATAAGATGTTTGAGTTTCTTTCCAGTAGTAAAAAAAAAAAAATTTATTATTTCATGAATCATTAAAACCTATCTTGGTCAATATGTCACATTATTTTCTATATTTTATTTTTTATTAATCTTCCAATTTATGGCATCAACAACAGTTTTTGGTATTTAGTTCATTTGAAAAATTTCACAATGCCCATGAGCTTGCTACAAAATTTCTGAATGTCTAATAACAAACTATGTGTACAATCTAACATAATATAACAATAAACAAATAATGTTTCAGGCTTCAGCACCCCAGCCCCAGCAGCAATACTCCCTGAGGCCCGAACAGGGTCAGGCTTACAGTGGAATCCCACAAGGCTACTCGCCACAGGCCTACCAGCAGTAACTGTTGTTCCTCTTCAAGACTTCGAAACTCATAATTTAAGTTTATATTTTTTGTAAAAAACGAAATATCAAAATATGTATCTTCCTTTTAGAGGGAGCGTTAACTCAACGAGACACTTTAGAAATAAAAATGAAATAATTGTGATCGGATTGTATCAACTTGCATGTTTAATGTGAGAGTACTGTATTTATAATGAACTTTAGTTATGAAACGGTTAAAATTAAATGTAAATTGTTTTATTGATAGTAAATATTTTTTTCCCATTTAGTATCAGTTAATTTCCTCCGAATAGAAATTTCTAGCTAGATATTAAGATTAATTAACACGTAAGAGAACTTCCAGCATGATAACTTATAGCATGAAGTATCCACATTCGTTCCCTTTCCCTTTCTGCCAAAAAAGAGAAAAAGATTGTGTGCTTGGTCATCCTTAAAAACATCACAATTTGATGAACATCGTGTGTGAATTCACCAGTATGTGAATTTTCCAAAAAAAAAGTGCACAATTTTAACTGTCTAAACAGGAAACTATTGCAAATGGGCATAGAAATAAACACAACTACAGCAATAATATTCTAAAGTAACTTTGTAAAAGAATTTTTATACCTGCTTATGATTCTTTATCGTAGTTTCTAATTTTTAAAAAAATAGGAGTTTCATCAAAACACCTTTAGGTCCTTTAACTGAGCATACTGAAGTAATTCAGGTTCCCCTCAAGTATTAAATCAGGTTAGTGACATTCAAATAATAGGTGAGACTTGCTTTGACTAGTGATCAAGCAGCTGTCAATGAAAATGTAAGTTTTTTTATTATTATTATTATTTAATTACTTTTTTCATAATTGGTAATTGGTTGACTGTTGTGGATAATGAAGAGAAGAATAGTTGGGGTGGTCAGTCAAAAAGGAAGGCAAAAATAACTGATGATATTTATTTTTACATATGCCGACGTTTCGACCTGAAGTTCAGGCCTTCATCAGGGCTAAGAAAATAACCAGATAACAAGGTATGAGAAACATAAGTAGTGATGGTTAAAAAAAAAATAATAAAAAAATAAAATAAATAAATATAAAGTAAAATGAAATTGTTAGAATAATGACTAAAAACTAAGAGGTAAATAATAATAACCGTTACAAAGTGTGGAATGATGAAGTAGGCGTAATCAAAAAGGGTGACATAAGTGTTACAATGGGAATCTTAGAATAAAATGTAAAACATAAAGAAGAAATATATACTTATATAACTTCATATTTCTTTTTTATGTTTTACATTTTATTCTAAGATTCCCATTGTAACACTTATGTCACCCTTTTTGATTACGCCTACTTCATCATTCCACACTTTGTAACGGTTATTATTATTTACCTCTTAGTTTTTAGTCATTATTCTAACAATTTCATTTTACTTTATATTTATTTATTTTATTTATTTTATTTTTTACCATCACTACTTATGTTTCTCATACCTTGTTATTTGGTTATTTTCATAGCCCTGATGAAGGCCTGAACTTCAGGTCGAAACGTCGGCATATGTAAAAATAAATATTATCAGTTATTTTTGCCTTCCTTCTTGACTGACCACCCCAACTATTCTTCTCTTCTTTAATTACTTTTGGTGATAACCTCCATACAAATAGAGCTGATCTCATTAATGGTGAATAATTTACAAAATAATAAAGTATTAATTTTTAGTTAAAGTATTTATAAATTAGATGAATAATTTATAAAGTATTCTAAGTTTGTAAATATTTCCCTCGAATCTTTCAATGCTTTTTTCTAGGGTGCTGATTATACTCAGATCACACAGCCATATATTAGAACTAACTTTATCATAGCATTGTTCACCCTTAACTTGAAATTTCTGGATTTTTTAAAGAATTTCAATAACTTTGAAAGGAAGAAGAAAGTTCTGTTTGTGCTTATCATTCACTGATCTATATCTGACTGCTGGTCATTCATTGAGGTTATTGTGGAGCCAAAGTATCTGAATTTTTCTACTTTCATGAACAATTTCCCTTCTACCGAGATTTTGTAATTGGGTTGGAATTTTCGGCTTATTATCATATATTTTGTTTTGTCTTCATTTACTTGTAGGCCAGTTTGCTCTGCTTCTCTTAATTTTCCATCTTTTCTCTACAGCATTTTTCACATGCTTTTGTGAACCACATCTTAGCATTTCATTTCTCCTGAATACCTATCACTTCCATAGCTGTTTCCTTTAACCCTTACTCTATTTTCTCCAATTGTGAGGCTCTCCAAGTCGAAGAGTTAGATTTTTCATTCTTCAGCTCAGGTTGTAATTTGGTTTTTACTTCAGGATTTTTCTAATTACAGACTTTGTATCTCCTTCTTTCCATTCGATTCTGTTTTGTGAATTTGCTTCAATCTCTGACATAGTGTAGTTCTAATCAGAGAGTCATCCTAATCACAGTCTGCTCCAAGATAGCTTCTTACATCTTTTATTGGTCTCTGGTGTTTCTTGGCTATCAGCACATGGTCAATTTGATTTTTTGTTCCTTTATTTACCCAGCTTATTGGTAAACTTACCCAGGGGTACTGGGGCTTATCCAGGTTTACTTGTGGATATCCTTGTTTAGGGACTTTGTATTGTTGACGACTAAACCTTTTAGTTGCTGCCAGACTGATACATCTCACTCCATTGTCATTGCTATTTTCGTGAGGGCCTTGACCTCCAATAATGGGTTTGAATTGGAGTTCTCATCCTATCTTTGAATTAAAGTCACCAATGACTAATTTTATGCCATGTCTATTTTGGTCCACAATATTTTCTAACAATCATAAAAATCATCCTTCATCTCCTCATCTTTATCTTCCATTGGTGCATACCCATTAATTATTGTGATATTAAACCAATGACCTTTAACTTTTAATAAACTAATCCATTCTTTTATGCCTGTGTGAAGTTTATGATTAATTTCCTACAAACTGGATTAATCCCATGCCAGCAGTTGCATTTTTATCATTTCTTCCAGAGTAGAATAGTGTATGGCCATCAATGATGGTTTCATCACCTTCTGACTATCTTACCTCATGAATGGCTGAATAGATGAACATAATTATTTTAATATAGTGCGGTAAACCAAGGATGTATATATACACCAAAATAAAATGTTATTTAGAATAATTATTTAAATAATTTTATTTTCTATTACATTAAGTTAACTTATTAAAATATTAATCATAAATAAATATAACAATACAAATAAATACTTGGTAAAATAACTTATCATTTAATAATGCACTATTCAGACTAAAGCCAAGACATTACAAAAACCATATCGACTTTAAATTGTTTGCTATCTATTGTATACATCGTAACATTGTATACATCGGACCCACTACATCAATATTTTAAAATAAAACAATTTACAGTAATAAAGTAAATGGAATGATATTGGATGTTGCAAAAAAATAAACTTACCAGTTTTAAATTAATAAAAAGTAAAACTCATATACCAACAACTATCACAAAGTTTTAAAATATATAACAAATCTATCCTGAAACTAATTTTACATTAGATACATCTTCGTAAATTACTCTAGTAAAATGATAAACCTTTATCAAATTAACAAATATTTCGAAATCATTAAAAGAAATATTATAAATATCCTTTAAATAAAAGTTATTATTCTGAAAAATAAATAAATTATTTAAAAACTGACTTAATTAAGACGGTCTCTGAGACAGTGATTTTCTAATGATGAAACAGAATCCTGACAGATTAAAGTGATACAATTATTAAATAAAAGAAAAAATTTACAAAAAGGTAAGAGTAATATTCACAATCTGAAATTAACTATAATCATACTTCCTTACTTTGAATATTTTTAACCTACTCCAAGAAGAGAAGCAACTGTACCACTACTAAGACCTTTATCACCAGTCATGATTCCATATTCTTCACAATCTGAAAATTAATTATTTATTTTTAGATTATAATAATTAATAGAACCTATGAACCAGTTCTGTTATTTGTATTTTTAACAATTAGAAGAATTATGAACTGAAATATACCAGGGTTCATATAAAATTTTGGCGGAATGTGATAAAACTCAAAAAAAAAAATTAAACGACATATTGGCCTCAATGCTGAGACAAAAATTCAATAATAACCAGTCAAATATTTTAAAATTATGCCCTTATTAGAGAACAATGTTACATAATATTTGACATGGGCGAGGTGAAGCCATGAGCATTTTTCTCATATGTGGAAATAAACTTTTAAGTTTTAATCATAATTCATCTGGTTTGTTTACAATATTGTCTACCTTTCCTATATAAAATATTCCTATACAATATAGCTTTTTATATTGTTATTGCTACTTTTACATTAATGTTAACTTCTACTCTTTTGGTAAACCTAGTTCAGTTTTATATTTGTTTTTCAATGGTGAGCGAGCGTTTTTTTTTATTAGTATATATCTAAGGTAAAATCAATTTGTCATGAACAGTTTCAAACCTCAAAACCTATAACATAACTTAATTGTTTAACTTTAATATTTAATTAATAACTTTAAGTTTAGATGATAATACCTTTTTTTTTTTTCTATTTTTCATTAATTGGTCTAATGTACAATAAAATACATTGAGTAAACATCTCAACAAATTATTCATTTAAATTGCATCTCTTTTATATTGTAATTCTAAAATGTTTTTTTGTCAGCTGATTTGCTCTGTTTCAGTCTTAACAATCTGATGAATTTCATAAAATAATATAATGGAAATAATAAATTCAAATACTTACTAACTATTGTATCGTTCAACATTTTTATTTCGCCAATACTTTCCACATTCTCTACATTGAATACTCCATAGGGAATAGTACTATTGAAGATGTTCAAAGCTGATTGTATTGGCCCAACTTTATTAATGAAAATAGCAGAAATATTTTGTTCATAATCCCTCCTTATGCAGCTGACTGAAAATGAAAATTGTAATGAAATCTTAAAAATATTATAACAAAGAAAACTTGATAATATAATATATTGATAATGTTAACTGTTTATTTCTAATTAATTTTATATCATTTGGATTTAAATTCTGGAAAATGTTATATTTTTTTTCAATATCTCAATCTGACTGAAATTGTTTTTCTTTTATATTTCATTTAGACCGGGTAGAATTATTAATATCAAGCTAACAATTTTTTAGAGCTTCATTATACAAATTATTAATTGTAGTTCAAGTTCTATCTTCACTAATAATGGTCAGATTTGGAAGACATATTTTATTAATTATTACTTAACTATGCCTATTTCAAACAGTGTGCTTGATTCGGGACAAGAGCACTGGCATCCAAAACCATGGAAAACAAATTAAATAGCAAAATTGGTTTACTCGTTCCAAAGATAATCATGGCACAGAAAAACACACATACAGACAAATGCCAAAAATACCTATTTAAGCAAAAATTATTAGAGTTTATTTATATAAGTCTATTTTTTTGTCAAAATATGGTCATCAATTTCCAAATTGTATGTATTTATATATATTTCTAGGTTTTGGAACTTTATTCTTATTTTTTAAAGGACTATCAATAGTACAAGAACATAAAGCTTATAAAGAACAACTTTTTTTTAATTGTTATCAACTCACCATTGGAAATTGTAGAATTTTCTTCTGCAGTTTCATTATTTATCGCCAGTGATGGAATATTTATTTCTTGACAGATCACAGGGTACTCAGGGTCTGAACTCAAAACGAATTTCTTGTTGTTCCTGGCACTTTAAACAGAATAATAAATATTTCAAGGGATACACTGAAATTTAAGTATATTTGACAATAATAATTAATTTTTACTTTATATTTATATTTTATAATTTATCTTCTTTTTTATTAAGTATTTAAATTTTAAATTAATTAGACTAACTTTATTAGCTCGTTTTGCATAGCCAGTGAGTTCATTTCCAATACAAATATATAATTAAATAATAGACGCTTTTCAGGATCTCAGAAGTGATTGATTTGGCAAATGAGGTGTCAAAAGAGTGTGTCATGAAGTAACTAATTATAATTTAGGTCCTCAAATTATTATTACAACATTAATAAAATTGAATGGAAATATGAGATTATAATTATAACTCTTCTATTTTCTTTAGGGTTCGTGAAAAATTATTTCTTCCTCTGGGTGTAATTACTTTATTTCTAGTAAACCAACAACATATTCAATGTTTTGAACATTGATCTAGAAACTACATCTTCTAGAAAATAGAATTATCCTTTCTGTGTAGAGAAATTTATCAAAAAATATAAATCTTCTATTTATTTTAGATTAATTATAGACGTGAACGAGAAATCTATTGAAAAAGTATTGATAAATTCAAGGAATGTTTTTCAATAGTGCAAGCAAATTATTTATTAATTAATTAGTTAAAATCTTACATCACTATAGTCCAGATAAAATATACACGGCCTAACCAATATTATGCACTTAATAGACTTTCTTCTTATATAGTTTGTAAAAATATATGTTTCTCTAGTACATCAAATTAATTAGGGCGTAGGATGGATGTCTAAAGCATTAATTATCTCTCAGTTGTGCTTGTTTACCGATATTCTTTTGAATGAAAGGAAGAAAGAGAAAAAAAATTACTAAATTTCTTACCTCGAATCGGTATCATTCGTCATGGCTTCTTTGATGGAGGATATTTCAAGATCATCATGGTTATTTTTGTGAATGTTTAGCGACTTTCCAGAATAACAAACCACAGGATTTGTTGGGTCTGGTTTTAAAACAAATACTGAAGGCCAATCATTTATTTCTGGATGTTCTGAACTGTTAACAATGTAATGCCTAGTTTTAGTTCAACTCTTGCCATATATTTATAATAACTTTATAAAATTGAAACAGCATTATAAATAAATAAAATTCAAATTAACTAATAATGCAAAGGTTTTAATTTTTAAAATCACTATAGTAGACTTACTAAGTAAGATCAACACCAATGACTTCCATTTATCAATATTACAAAATTTTTCATCCAGCAGAGGATGTTCAATTGCTAATAGGTTTCTTGGAGTAATCTTAAGTTTCTTTAAAATCAGAACTGTACGAATCATGTAAATCAGAGGTTCCAAAATACAGTCAGTCAGAAGCACAGAAAATCAAATAAACTAGAAGCAGCAAATGCTAGTTGTGGTATAGAACCAGTTATCATGCTATTTATTGCACATCTTCAAGTCATGTTTATGCTCAGATTGGCGATGGAAAAATATTGTATTCCTTTACTTCTATCAGTGTCTTATTTGATTTTTCTTTTAACATTGATTCCTTTTTCATACGTAAGAAAAAAAATTACAAATACCAGTGGCAACTAAACATCATTATCTTTCGATCTTAATAAAACAATGCATAGCCCAACTTTTTCTCAATCACACTTTTTAGGCAATGAATGATAGAATTGGTCGGAATACTGTATTCCGATACTAAAACATTATGTTACGAAAAACATTCAAAAATTATTATTCACATAGAATAACCAAATTATATTTAATTAATTTATTTCCGCTGATTTTTAAAGAAAACAGTGATGTAGAATTTGTAAAAAAATAAAAATAAAATCGAATAAATAATTATTAACTATTTTGTCCTAAATTGTAACTACTGTTTGAAGTTTTTAAAAAACAAACTCGACATAATATTTATTTATTTACATAATCGGACAAATATAAGAATTTTATGATTATTATTGAAGCAATAAGTTTAAGAAAAAAATTTCAAAAAATATATTAACAGGGACAAATTTGTTGTCAGTATCTCAACATTCTGATAAGAACTAATTATTGTGTAAAGAATAATTCCTGCGCATCTAAATTTATTTGCTTATTAGTTAAATTAACTGTTCTCCTTCTGGTCATGCTCTTGTCAACAGAAGGATATTAATTGGAATATGCTTCTCACTCACCTGTTAACGAAAATAATAAAATAAATAAATAAATCTGTATGATTTATGTCTTGTTTAGAATCTATAACTGTATGATCCATCAGAGAGAGAATGCTATGCTACCCACTAGTTCCATCCCAAAGTTTAAAGTGAAGTTATTTAAGTGCAACAAACTACTTATTAGAAAACATTTCAGTTTATAATTTTTGTCTATTTACGATATTCTATGCATTTAATGTAATCTATTACTCTCACACAGCTTAAACATAAGAAACTACTTCAAAACTAAAAATAAATTGTGTACTATTCATGTAATTACCTCTTATTCTCATTCATGGTTTTGTTGAGACCCTTAGTTTCAGTTATTAAGTTTGTGGATTTTTTTTCTTTTGCTTTTTTACTAATTGAATCCCAACTTGTTCTTCCTAATTTCATGTCTGGTTGATGAGGCATAGGCTTCATGACAATGACTTTTGTAGGAGTCGATCTATAAAAACAGTAAAGATTACTAATGGTTGAAAATTTTCTGGACGTTTATATATTTAGGAAAAAAACATTGAAATTATTGCATTCCAGGTTTATTTTTGTGTTTTGTTATTATAACATCTTACAATCTATTTATAGATTAAAAGCCATTATTCGTTCTTTATAAATATTTGGATGGACACATTCACTGTGCCTACCCACACTTCAGTATGCACTAATATACATAAAAATTACTTAATATTATCATTGAATTTTTAAATATGACTCACAAGATTTCTACACTAGCCATCTCAGTTGAGATGAAAACCGTTGTGACAGCAACAATGAATAGCCAGACCTGAAAAAGACAATAAAAAATAAAAATTGCACTTAAACATTAATATTTAGTTATAATATTAATTTTAAAAAATACATATTGACATAAGTATAAATATGTATATGTTCATATACACAAACGTATCAATGTATCTTGTATGTAAATAAATATTCAATAATAATTTAGTAAAATATTTAGTTGTAGCTTCTTTATCTGCCATATATTAGAAGTATAATTCTATATCTTAATCACCCTCCTTTAGAGATTTTTGTACCTCTAAATAGGGCAAAGATAAATCAATCGAATATTAATTTATAACGATTTAAAGGAGGCAGACTAGGATGGTTCAAGCAACAACCATATCAATATATTTATTTACAAAGTTACAAGTTATTGTTGTGAGTATAAAGAGCATTAATTCAGCTTTTTAACTGCTGTAGTTACATTGAATTTAGAATTTGAACAAATCTTTGATCTTGAACAATGAAAAATATTGTTTAATTAAGAAAAACAAAGAAAAACACTGTAATATCCTAAGACAATGTACTTACACATCTAAATGTACTCTTTGATAAAGTTTTAGGGAAATTGATATATGTATAGTATACTTTTTTTTTCAGTATTTTCAGCTCTGATTCTTTTTAAACATTCAAAATAAATGTCCTCCTTTCGTAATTGTAACACCTAATTTTAAAATTGTTGGACTTGTTAACTTAAAAATCGTTGCATACCTTTTAACTGATAGATAAAACATATTATACAATATTTTGTTAGTTTTTTTTTTTAGCCCCAATTTTTTTAAAACACACAGGATATCACTGAATAATATGAGCAATTGAACTTCGAAATCGTTAAATTCGTTCACTAAAAACAAAGTTACATACCTTCAGTGGATTGAGTAAACACATTTTATTCAATTACTTCCAATGTTTTGAGATCAAATTGTTTCGAAGTACTGACGGGATCTCAATAATATAAGTAATTTGTGTTAGGATTAATTAATTGATGTTATTTGCTAATTGTATATTCTACCTACAACACTGTTACTGGCAACATTGTCAGATGTGACGTCAGTGATCACAACAATGTATACTCCCTCGATATGGCTTCTATGTTCGTAGTGTTCTTCTACAATAAACGTTTCTGTATTGTCTGCGTTTGTTTCATATAGAAACCCTAACCATTATTAACAATTTGGACCATCAATCTTAAAATTCCATCTATCCATTCAAATCATTACTTAATTGTAGGTGGACAACCCTAAATCATAACCAGAGATCGGATTTGTGCGTAGTAAAAACTCACAAAATATGCCATATAACATGAAACAAAAAACCGTCAAAAATACAAAAGCATATGCTGTAGAAAAACAAAAATATGTGGTGAAAAAATCGCTGAATATGCAATAAAACATCGAAAATATTTAAATATACTATTGTAACTATAAAGAATTTTGAAATAAAAAAAATGATGGATTAAAAATTAAAAAAAAATATATATTTCATTAAAATAAAGTAATTAAAACATAATGCTATAAATAAAACGTGAATTAAAATATGTATTCATTAATGGTTAAAAAGATAATATATAATACTTTTTAAGAACATAGCATCGAAGTATTACTAGTTTACAACATGAAAAAAAATTAGAAATTAGTAAGCAAAGCGATCTGACCAACATTTATAAATGAATTAATAAATCTGTTTCTTAAAACCTAATCATTTATCTTTTGAAATATTTTTATATTTAGTTTTTATTTGATGATTGAAAAACAACATACTATAGCATTATGAAATTTCTACTTCAATGTTCCATTTCAATTCATTATTGCTAATTATTACTGTTATATAAAATTTTATTAATTGCTTATGGGTACACTTATTTGTATAGATACTTGACCACCAGTTTAGAAACTGCTTAAAAACAAAATATGCAATGACACAAAAATCCGGGCCTAGCTCATTACGCTTCTGGTAGTTTCCCCTCAGTTGGGTAATAATTAGTTATACTTTTTCTTACTATACATAAAAAACAAATTGATTTATATACAATAACTCAGAATTTCATGTAGAATACAATAATATAAAAAAATACATAAAATTTAAACAAATATTTTTTTCTTAGTTCCTTTGGGTACGAGCCTAATATTTTTTAGTTTCATGATTAGTTAAAAGTGCATTGAAATCGGTGTTTCCACGTTCGTAACTTCCAGTTGCTATTGGTACGAACAAAACTGATAAATCATTTTTTATAACCTTGACTTTATTTTGTTATTTTTAAGTACCATATAAAATTTATCATTATTATAAATTTATTTATACTAGGAAAGAATATTGATATTCTTTCTCGTTACCAATATGAGAAATGTTATTTCTTTCAGACTATTTCTCGTGATACCATTCCCTTGTTTTGTGTAAAACCGGTTCTCGATTATATGGTAAGGCGACTGAAGGTTGAAATTTGTATTCATTTTTCATAGGTCAATTATTTATTAATAAATTTTCCTTATGCTTTTATTTTCTGTTGCGTCTGCCTTAGATACACTTCTGGCAGTTCTTAATCACTATCAGTTTTGGGAATAAACAGGATCTACTGATAAAGGTTATATTGATTCAGATGTATTGGCGTATTTCAGAGGCACAGTCTTTAATCTGAAAAGAGATTCTGAAATTCCATAACTTATGTATTAGTGAAATACATTTTTGTGTTCTTGTAACTAACTTTCACATATCACAAATCTGGGGGGTATAGCTTCTATGGGAGCAACACTGAGTGTGGTATTCTAATAATGTTAGTTTACAATTACTTACACTCATATGAACGAAATGCCCGTTTTAACCCACAGATAACGTTCATACGAATTTAAGTAGGATATAAATATGGGAACCATGATGAAATTATACCATCTAACATCTGCCGATGAAATTTCAAAAAAAAGTGATTGGGTTTGGTTAGTTGTTTTGATGTTTTAAGCGTAAAACGTCTAGGTAATCAGCGCCTTATCCATAAAGGTATTATTATTAAAATATTTAGCTGGTAGTTTTAATGGAGAATAATAAAAAAATAGAAAAATAAAATAAAAAATATAGAAATAAAATATGTATAAAGGAAAAAAAATTAAATACAAGAAAAAGATAAATAGAAATTATTATTATAACTCTTTCATTAAATTTTCTCTTATTAAAAATGCTTTTATTTTGTCGGATCTAATGCTGCCCTTTCCCAACGCTATTAATATATTTTGTGATATTTCTAAATCATTTCGTTTGCAACTATAAAGTGGATATATAGTATATGCTATATAAAAAAAACTAATTTTTTTAGTACCAATCTCTCCTACAATTTTAATTTGAAATTTTACTATTATTTTTCCATTTAAGTAAATGTAATACACATACCAGTCTCAAGGTTCTTAGGACTTAAACAATGTTACAAACGGATTTCATTGTGAATCAATCGGCCCTAAAATTACAAAACGAAAATTATTAGATATTTTTTTTTAAATTTCTTTCACCTGGATAAACGTCTAGCTTGAAATCCTCATACCAGACTGAAACGACAAGAAACCGCTCGACGTTTCCGACTACTTCAGGACTTACAATACAAACGCTCTAACATTTCAATTAATTACAAAAGACTCATATACATGACCATAATAAGACCTATTTGAACTTTCGGAGTTGAGCTTTGGAGATCCACTAAATCATCGAATTCCTTTCGTATCCAATATATACAATCCAAAATCCTTAATACTCCTTACTTCGTAACAATCCAAATTCTTCGGAAATTCCTCAATAATGCTTACTTTTTCACCAATAAAATAATCCATAATGACCTGAATGTTCCATATGTTTCCGATTTGGCCCAATTCCGATATCTATCCTTCCACAATAAACTTCAGAACCTTCCTAATCCTCTCGTTTCTAACCTTGCTTCCTCCTCGATCCCTGATAACACTCCGAGGCGTCTGGAAAGAAAATGGCCTCGTGATCTCCTAATTTAGATCCTTTATTAGAGTGCTACCAATGGGTAGATCCTCTACAAGCCTTGTCATGTCATATATTTCTTTGTATCACGTTTGTTAAATTTTTATTAATTTGTACAGTTGTAAATTTCATAAATAATAATAAAAATAAAAAAATCTTTATTGAATATTATTACATGTTGTCACAACTAAGTCCACTATTAGTAGTGGTACAGGAGCTCGTTCATACTATTTAAAAATAAATTAAATGGAAAAACAGAAAAATAATAATACTAAAAATAAATATCCATAGATAAATATGGGTATACATGTATATAAACAAAAAATAAAACTGACCACAGTAAGAAATTAAATACAGGGACACCTATATACATTATTTACAAACATTCCCTCAACCATAAAATTCATAAAACATTCTCCAAACCCAGCCTTTCACAATGTGGAAAGAAAAAACAATACTCATAGAAATCCCAATGCCTCTCTCTCAGCCGCGTCTTAGGTATTAGTGACCATTAGAGGCTGAAGAAAGACGCTTTCAGATATCTGATTCCTGAAACCAGTTTGGACTTACAATGTAGCACTTTGGATATCTAAAAATGCTGCGTTAATTCATAAAATCCTTATTCCATTCCAGTAAAGAAAACGCCCAACAATTGTACATCCATAGTTGTTGTCGTTTTTTTTTTTTTTTTTTTTTTTGCTTTTATTTTTTGGCTTAAAGACTTGTAAAAGCAAGTCCTATTTTGCAAAATAGGTACATCCATAGTGTACAATCAAATTGAAAAATAGGCAATAATTACTCATATATCCTGTTTACTATAATTACTCATAATACTGCTTCCTAATATCCCATCTATCCTTCCTGATATAAACTAATATCCCAGTAAAACTAATAAAATCCAGCCTTCCTGTCCTAATTCCTGTTCTTTACCATATCTACAACCTTTCATTGCAAAACTCTATATTCCCATCCTTCTGGAAAACTGCCCTAGTCCGACCTTTAAATAAAATCACAAACCCTACCTCACTGCACGGT